CATATAACAAATACCATGAAAGCCAAATGCTTGGAGAGCTTCCTAACATTTAAGTGTGGTGGAAATTTCCTTAGTTGCAGTCTTCAGTTCAGACACAACCTCATTCTCATGCTTTCCTAGCCTGCTTGTCCTTTTAACTTGAAGAGGAGTAACATAAATGGAAGTACTCAATATTGATTCCTTGCTAGTTCTTTTTAATTCTTGTGTGAAGTGTTTCTTCCTTACGATTTATTTATTTCTGGATTTTGGAAATAACTTTATTAATAAATGTGACAGATTGCAGAGTCCTTTAGCTTTTCTAATCACTTTGGAATATAAAGTATTTAATGTGAATATTAAATAAATCTCAATTTTTCTCTCTTTGGTAGTTCCCTTCTTCCCTTCCTCCCCACTTTGTGGACAAATCTTTGTCGGCTGTAGTCTTAACCTGTGGTATTTCCACCACTGTTGGAATTCTTTTTACTCTGACACGTTTATACAGATGTAATTATTTTTTGTAATTCCAGGTTCATAACATTCCTATTACAATGTGCTCCCATTAGTTCTTAGTTCCCACTATTGATGCCGTTTTATTTAATATTGGGAGTTTTCTAATTTTTTTCTATTATAACACACCTATGATTTTATTCACTGAAAAGAATCCTGTTTGCTTTATGTATTTGTGTATATAATGTATATTATTTCAGATTATCTGTTCTTTTATTCTTGTCAACTGATATATTGCTGACTGAATTCTAAAATGTTAATTTTAAAAAGTGTCTTTTAAATAATATATAAAGCCTCAGTTAAAAAAATAAAAGGAGTGTCTGTCCCTGTAAGATTTGAAGAGCAACACTAAAATAGTTTTGGAGTAACAAACTGTTGTACTCAGCCTCATTCCTGTCTCTGCATTGCCTGCCTGTTGCCTTTTACTTTCAAAGCTGGTGGTACAGATAAACACTTCAAAGATTGAGGAAGAGGATGCACTTGAGCTCCCCTCAAAGCACTTTAGAGAGGAAGTACAACTGACTCATCAATGAAATTGTCTATACAGCAAATGCTGGTAAGTGTACTAAATGAATTGGAAAAACATTGTCTACAGTCTTTTAATTTTAGCAGTCCTGCAAACAGGACTACTGTTTAGATGAAAATATGTTTGCTTTTCAAGTTGAATGATGCTAAGTTAATCATTCTGTCTTTACTACATCTCTTCTCTCATCTTGGATCTAGAGTTGTCCATTTCTTTCAGACAATACAAGAAGTTACTTTCCCTAGCCTGCTACCTGTCTTGACTGGCTCTCTTCCTTACAGCGTATTCTCTGTTCCTTTCACGGGAAGAATAGAGCAGCAGCTCTACTCATCCACATATTTAAAACATTACTTTTTTTTGCTGGGGGGGAAATTGCTTCCTGCAGTATCCATGGAAGCATGTATGAAAGTGTCTTAGATCTGCACTTAAGTCTTGCTGCTTATTTGCTAACTATGTTGAGTGTTTGTTACACTCAAACCGTTTCAAATCCTTCTGTAATCAGATTTACTTTGTCTTTCTAAGATGTGGGGGATACATGATCTGATAATAGGTGAATGTCAGCTGATTAAATTGTAGCTGCTCTTGTCCACATGCTTAGCTTACTGCAAATGCAAACTCAAATTTCTAGATTTGGTTGGACAGAGTGAGCACCCTGTCATTTCTTGTCACCGATCAGCTGATACGTGCTGTCGTTTTGAGACAGAGTAATATTAACACGGTTTAATTTGTGTTCTTGGTATCACTGAAAGTGGAAATTTAAAATTTGACCATAATTATCCAGCCTTAATTTCTATTTTCATTGTGTTTGCTTTATACCCTACTGCTGCTCTACGTTAAACGTTTGTTTAGTTTTGTAAGCCCAAGAGAGCCCTTCAGTAATAAAACAGATCTTTGTAACTTCTTTTAGGGGAACTTTCATTGTAATAGTTTCCTGGAAAAATTTACACAGGCATTTTGTTTGCTCTGAATTGATCCTCCTAACCCTCCTTACCCTTGTCTCCCCCAAAGTTGCAAATTTTTCATTAGTTAATTCTGTCAACTCCAGACACCTTCAGATGCATAGTTCTGAGTAGCTTCAGGTCTTAGATATTTGTCATTGACTGAAAAATTTTGCAGAAGTTACATTTAGACCACTAATGATTTTATCCCAGTGAGACCTAGAACTTTTGTGTGCTTTTTTCTTCCCTTTTTGGGGGGTGAGCTGTATGTAGAAGGCTTTCCATTAGTATGGGCTGGAATCCTTGTTTCTCTTCATTGTTTTCAAACATGGTTCTTCATGGCTTGAGAGACTGTATTTTATGCAAATCTCTGCTTGCTTGTCTTACAAACTTAGATTACATTAATAAAAGCAAAAATACTTTCTGAAATACTAGTTGTCCCCTCTGCTGCACAGCTGTTGAAAATTCTCAATAGCATTTTGCTTTTCTGGTGCTGTCATTCCTGTAAAGCTTTTCCATATTATAATTACTGATGTAGTTAATAGTGAACCTTGAGAAACAAACAGGCTTTCTGTAACAATTTTTTTATTATACATTCATAGAAACATCTGTTAACTGCAGTAAAGACTGAAGTAAATGCCGTGCTCTCTCCAGGTAGTATTTTGGAGCTTAAGGCTCTATGGGGCTTCCATCACTCCAAGTTATTTTTAGCTGTGAGACAGAAAAATTTAAGGGACAGATAACATGAAGCCATCTATTTGAATATTGAGAGACAAATGCTGCTACAAGCTGCTCTTGTCCTGAAATGCATACCTTCAAGATAGGAAGTGATACCAGACAAGTGTCAGAGTGTGTACGTGGGTTTTGTTAACCTGCAAAGGAACTGAAAATGGGATAGGCTAAGAGATGCAGTGGTGCCTGTTGATGGGAACTTTGACTAAAGAAAAATAGACAGTGGTGTGACCAAGAATTGGATGATTTAGATATAAAAACAGAAGAGAGGAACTAAATAGATGACGAAGTTGACAGCTTAAAGTCTGTGTGAGTATCAAAGGAGACAGGCTGAGGTGTGATGTTATCTGCTGTGGTGCACAGGAAGGTCTAGGAATGGAAGTAATGAAAGAAATGTTAATAACATAACTGAAGAAGATAACCGAGTGTATGTAAGTTATGGGCAGTTTTGAGAAGAGGTAAAGGGAGAAGGTGAAGAAGGCAGTAACTAAATAAAAGCCTAGTTCTGTAGCTGGGTGAGGAAAAGACAGCCTTGAGAAGGCTGCAAGATGCTTGAGCTGCTTGAGAGCGGTTGAGAAGAACGCCTGTCACTGTGAGTAGAAAGTGTCACTCTTAAGGAAAATTGTCTTACTGGATGATGAATCACTGACAGGGAAAAGTACAGAAGATACAACTGAGCAAAGTGAAGAGTATTAATTCTCCAGGGCAGAAAGGTCAGCTGTGGATTTGGAATTTAGGGGCTCTCTTTGCTTTTGATTTTGACAGAAACAGGACATCTAACAGTGATACTACCATCCTGGAAAGTCATTGTAGTGTAAAATACCTGTTGAAGGGCTTTTGGCAGCCTGGTGGTTTACAAAGGTGTTCAGAGAGCATTTGATAAGGTGGGTACTGAGTAGTGGCAAGGTACAGTCTGTCAGGGTGAAGAACTGCAGTATTGCCCCCTCACAAGTTTGTTTTTCTAAGTCAATGGATGTGTGTGAAGAAATGTTCTGTTATTGAAATTAATTTTATATTGATGGGCAGTGAGTGAGTGGGAGTAGCACTTAAAGCAATGTTAGAAGCATTAGTTAGGTGCTTGGAGGTATTTTGAGCACTTCTTTGCAGAGTACCTACTGTGTCAAGATTTTTGATCCCATAGTGTGGGTTAAATCTTCAATGCCCTGGGGTATGTATTTTTTTGTTTTTGTTTTTTGTTTTTTTTAAATCTGCTGGTCTTCATGCTTAAAGAGACATGTTTTATTAAGCTTTAAAGTTTTGGAGGTATTCAGCTTCTGACTTCAAAACGGGAATCTTTAGCTCCTCTTCAGTTATCCTGGCTAATTCCTTTTGGCTCTTAATTTTCATAGGGGTGTTGTGTGTGTTTGAATGGCAGGAAGATTGGGTACACTTCTATGTTCCCTCTGTTCTTACACAAGCTTAATGCTTGTTTCATTCCCCATTCAGTTCCCCTTTGCTTTGCCATAGTTTTTCTGCTTGCATTTTGCTGGTAAAGGTGTTACCATAATTTTGATTGAGTGGTTTTTAAGAACTGTCTGAAAAATATAGAGGCCCATATGTAAACATCCATCTCTATTTTTGTGGAGAAAGGAAACTACAATGTTCTCATGGAATCAGAGATTCACCAAATGGTTTGGGTTGGAAAGGACCTTAAAGATCATCTAGTTCCAACCCACCTGCTCTGAGCAGGAACACCTTCCACCATCCAAGCTGGCACTGAACACTTCCAGGGATGCTGCATCCACAACTTCCCTGGGTAACCTGTTCAAATGCCTCACCACTCTTTCTGTAAAGACTTTCTAATATCTAGTCTAAACCTATTCTCAATTTAAAGCTATTCCCCCTTGTTCTGTCACTGTGTTCCCTTCTAATTTGTCCCTGTCCATGTTTCTTGTAGACGCCTTTCAGGTAGGCTGCAATTAGGTCACCCCAAAATCTTCTTCTTTTCCGGACTGAACAAACCAAATTCTCACACCTTTCCTTACAGTTGAGGTGTTCCATCCCTCTTAACCATCTTTGTGTCCCTCCTCTGGACTCAATCCAACAGGTCCATGTCCTTCCTGTGCTGGGACCCCAGTGCTGGATGCAGGGTTCCAGCTGGGGTCTCACAGAGCAGAGGTGCAGAATCCCCTCCCTCCCCTGCTGCCCACCCTGCTTTGGATGCAGCCCAGGACACGTTTGGCTCTCTGGCCTGTGAGTGCCCATGGCTGGGTCATGTCCAGCCTCTCACCCACCAGCACCCCCAAGTCCTTCTCCCCAGGCTGCTTTCCATCTGTCCATCCCCAGCCTGTGTTCACACCAGGGGTGCCCCAACCCAGGTGCAGCACCTTGCACTTGGTCTTGTTAAACCACATGAAGTTCCTATGGGCCTGCTTCTCCAGCTAACATTTGGAGCTATCCCTGTGAGTATCCTTCCAGGAATACTCCTTGGCAGTCTGCAAAGAAGAGACTCCATGCCTTCAACTTTTTCACCTTGGTGTTGGGATGTTGTTGGAGCCTTTCTTACCTTAAGTGACATGAGCTTGACAGGTGTCTCAAATCAATAGTTCTAACAGATGTAACTTCATTGATGTGCTCTATTTATTTGACACACAGCATATTTTCTGTGGTTTAATTTATTTTTTCAAATAATGACAATTTTTCCTCATTTACTGTTGTTTCTCTTTTCACCCCTCTTTCCTAGGTAGTTGTAATTCCTGGCTGCTTGCAACTACGTGTAATATGATGAACAGAGCTAAAATCGAAAAAGCTATTTTTTGAGGCTTTTGACTTTTAGTGTTTTTTGTAAATCATAGTGAAATGTCTGTCCTTGAAAACTGTATCATTTGTGGAATCAGTGGGTTATTTTTGGTTCTCAGCTCCTAAAAGATGGAATTTTAAAAACTTTTGGAGAAACTTTCTTGTAAAGAAAGTTAACATCAGGGGAAGGTGAACCTCACATAGAAAGATGATCTCATTCTTGTTTTCTCTCATCATCTTATGTCTCATCACATCAACCTCTTGTCTGTAGCTGAGCTTTTTATACCTCTAAGTTCCACAAAGATTGAGTTTCAAATGTTATAATGCTAATAACTGGCAGCTGAGATGCCTGTCACTTTTACTTTAAAACAAAAGACACCTTTTTGATAAAACAGTTGTAATACTTGTAAAAGGCATGTTAGAAGCATGAAATCTTATGACAACTTTGTCATGTGTCCTCATTTTAGACAGGTAAATTGTCTTAAATTAGCTCATGCAGTTCCTAAAAACAGTGTTTTGCACTAGTCAATACATTTTATATTCCTCCTCTTCAAAGGCTTCTGAAGTTGACAATTTTTCCCCCTCTGTACAAAGATTAGATCAATTTTCCAGATACTTTCCTAAATTCCAAAAAAAGGAATAGGTAAGTGTGACATGCTTGTCCAGACCCTTTTTAAAAAGCTGTATGTATACAATGCAATCAAAGTGTTTGCTGATACACATGTACAGACAGAGTAGTTTAATATAGGAGTGATGCACATTATCTTTGTGATCATTCTCTGGAGGTTGCATTAGTAAAGAAGTAAAAGTCCTTTCATATCCTTTGTCTTCAAAGGACAGTAGCCAATACAGCAAAATACTGCAGAGAGTTGAGGTTTTGTTGCCTAATAGGACATCATCATCATGCCATAGCAAAACCAGTAAGTGTCTGTAATAGCAATAAGTTCTATTCCTGTGTAACTTGCTGCACCCCATTAAACTTCATCAGTTCCCCTAGTGTTTAAATTGCATAGGTTTGGATGCATGCCTCAAGTGTGCATTTGGCCTCTGGTAACTGTTTATAGCAATCTTTCTTTTCTCTGATTTCTTCTGCAGAGGTTCTTGTGTAAGAAATATGTGTGGGGGAGAAAGAGTTATCAACAAGCCAATGCTTCTCTCTAGCCTCCTAATGCATCTAGGAATTACTTTCCTTTTTTCTTCTTTATGATGGGTTGGTGATAAGGTTTTTCTGGACTTTCACATGCGGTTTAGATCTCCATGATATGGAGATGTGGCTGAGATAGAAGTGCACAGGCTGGTACTTCCCTGATGACCTTGATTGACAATTCTTTTGCTTCCTGGTAGGTGGGAGCCGTAACCCTTAGTATAAGGACTCTGTTGTAGGCTGGAGGAAGAGGAAGACTTCAATAAAGAGGATAACTGGTAAGTAACACTTATACCCCTCCCATAAAAGTCCTCCCAATTTATGGCAATTGTTCTGGAAAAAAATGTTTGATTCTGGATGAAAAAGGCCTATTCCTGAGACTTCTCAGAAAATGGTCTGTATTACCTAGTGACATATCTTAAACTCTCAGAATGTCAGAGTAGCTAAGAATGGTTGTTTCAAGTTTTGAGGGTGCAAAGGGCAGTCTCAATATGAAAGGCTTCAGAGTAACAGGTATTTCCAGTGTATTTCTGGATTAAAAGTTATCAAATACACTGTTAGGAAGTGTATTGATTTTTGCTGCGAGGTAACTTTCTGTTCTTGTCTGTCAAATGGAAGAGCATGGTTTCCCTGCAAAAGGATTACAGGCATTTCAAAGCTAAGTCTGCTGTTTATCTGTACAGCATTTTGATGTTGTAGCAAATGTATGTTCATTAACTGAATTGCCTCTGATATGTGTTTGGAATGATGTGTTTCATTCTAATACTCTTAAAATCTTTAAGATTTCTGTGTGATTGTAAAATAAACTTGAGGATGGACTACTTGCTGTTTGGATATTGGTATCAGTAAATCCCAATAAACTAGCACATGTATTTGTAACCAGAGGAAGAGAAGGATGAAAAAATGACAGCTGCCTGTCTTATCCTTCTGTACTTAAGCAAAATGAGTGGTGCCACTTAAAATAGTTATGTGTTACCATTAGTGTAGCCTTGAAAAGCAGGTGACTCCCCAATGCTTTGTGATGAAAATTACTAGTTTTACGTACAGCATCAGCATTGCAGCTCTCATTTGGTGTTGATTTTCAGTGTAAAGTGCATAAGCATGATTACTGTGCCAGAGCTGGCACTAAAAACTACTGGAGAGGTTTCAGGAATTGTTCTGATTGCCCTTGGCTGCCTGATAAGTTTCATAAGGTATTAGAAAGCAATGATAGCACATGGTAAAAAAAATCTAGTCACAGTAAACAGGGAAAGTTACAGTGCTTTTCAGATGAATTTTGCAATAGTTTCGGAGGTGTAATCACAAAAACAGGAGGTGGAATGCTCATTCACTGAACAGTGGTTGCCATCCTTCTGAGTGGGCAATGAGTTGGGGAAAATTCGTGTTTTCAGAACTTCAAGGCCTTGAGAAGAGTTGGTAAGGTCGTTATGCTGACCAAAAAAATCAGCTTAGGCAAGTTATTTTTTAAATTATTTACTGAAATCTTCACAGTGATAAACAAGCTATGGGCAAAGCAGAAGGACAAATGGATTACAAATGAGTATCACATGAGTTTGCCTTAGGATGTTGAGTATGCAAGGATAAATGGTTCCTTTTTACAGGGCAGAATAAAACATTGTTACAAATTAAAATTGCTGTCTCTGTCATCTTTCAACAGTAATTTAACAAGAATGGGAAACCTTGGAGAATAAGACACTTGGTTCGTTACTGGACTTTTTGTTAAATATGTAAATATAAACTAACCTTGCAATCTTTGCAAATGTCAAACTTTTAATGGACCTCCAATTACATGGAAGCATTGCCTTCAAAGAGTTTTACTCAAAAAAAAAATCAGTTGATGATTCAAAATTTAATACTTCCCTTGGTTTTATTGTCATCAACTTTGCAAGATAGAGTTATTTTTGGCAACATTACCGTGCCGTAATAGATTTCCACCCTTCATGTCTTGAAAGCATATTAGTGTTTTAAAACCATATTAATGCTTGATCAGACTTTCTTAACTTCAGTTCTATATATTTGTAGTCTGGTAGCTCAGCAAGTATAGAAAGACATGAAGTTTTCTCTAAGTGTGGCAGGGTTCCTCCTAAGGCCTTTGAAATAGAGATATTCTTTCTGCTTCAGTTTCTTAATCTGAGAAACTACTATGTATCTCTGTGAGCTTAATAAAACTTAGAGGGTGCTCATTTATTTTAGTATCTCTAATAACCAAGGCAGTTGAGGCTAAAGGGCCAGGCTTGCTGGGCTCTGAAGAGAAATGGAGTTATCCCACAGCAGATTTTAGTGGACAGTTACATTTTAGTGAGGTTATTGGATCTGAAAAGAAAATAGTGAATTAGTACTGAGAACTCACTGGCATCTTCTTGGAGCTATTAAATGTCATAAGTATTTAACTTGTATCCACTTTTCAGATCTCTTGAAGGAGAAAAACACTTTGGCCACACATGTCAAATGAAATGGTGTGCTAAAGGCTGGCACATACGTCTTTAGCCCTTAGTTTGCTGTAAGTTACAAAGTGACCCTTTCACAAATAGTTTGTCTCTTGCGCTGATGCTACAAGGAGAATGTCCATTAGTAGTTCTAGCTGTAAACAGCATTGATTCCTGCTTTGATATATCTAAATAGTACCCATGCCATCTTACTGCTTCTGATTGGGAGCAAAGGGCTTGATGGTCAGCTGCAAGAAGAAACAAACAGATTCAATGCAGGACAGGTCCTTTTTCTATTTTCTCACTTTTCTTAGAAAACATGAAAAGGTTGCTTAATTGCTTTCTTCCTTCTTCCTGCTCCTCTGAGTTGTTCATAAAATTGTAGGGGTAATATTCTTGCAGGTTTCTGTGCAGCTTTTATTTCCCATTCTACTTGTTCCCATATGATTTGGAAAAGTGGTATTTCCCCACTCTGGCAACAGCTGATTTTCCTCCTCAAAGGAATTATATGGATATAATTAATAACTTCCATTTATATATTAAATTTCCAATATGGAGATGATCAAAAGACATTAACTACAAAACAGTGTAAGATGTGATGTGGAAGTGACATAGTTACTGGTACTCCATTGCATGCACAGGGAACCATTAGCGATCTGATTAATAATAGGTGATTATAGCTAATGGTGGTTGTTATAAATTATGCATTGACCTGAAAGAGAAAAAAGAAAAATACTCCAAGACCAGAAATTTTCAAATGTGTACCCTACTTACAGTAAGTGAGAAAAAAGAACTGGTTTGTTAAAAAAACCCTGTAGAATCAAAGATGAAGAGTCTTGCAGAAAGCAGTAGAAAATAGCTGGTCAGTGATATGGAATGAAGAGTACTGCAATGTGATTTTAAAAAAAGAAAAAAAAAAAGAAAAAGCCAGCCCTGAAGTCTTAAGTGATTTAAGCATGCAGCCAACTTCCTAAGAAACAAAAAATGTCCTCTGTAACCTGGTACACTGGGCTGAAATTTTGTTTAAGAAAAATCTCACACATAACCCAGAAGATTGTTTAGAGCTAAGAAATAAAATTTTGAAGTAACTGAAGTAACACTTTGAAAGTGCAGTGTTTGCAGGGTGCTTTCCAGGCAGACAGATTTGGTGTTTGACCACCCTTCTGTGAAACATGTTTTCCCTGTGTTGAGCTGGAGTGGCACTTGCTGCAGTTTGTGACTGGGCATCTCTCTGAAGAGTTGTGTGCTGCTTTCTTTGTAGCTCCAGCCAGGCACTTGGAGCCAGCAGTTAGAGCAGCCCTGCCACTAAGGGGTCACCTGCTGTCATCGTAGCCACCGTGCTGTGAGGCTGCTAGTCTGCTGTGCTCTTCACTCACCTTGCATTCTACCTGCCCAGTCAATTTCTCCCTTTGGTTGCAGAGGTGTTATGGGGGACCCGTGTTCAAAGCTTCATTAAATCAAGGTAAATGAGATCCATTGCTCTCCACCAAACCAGTCTTTTTGTTGTAGGCAGTGATGAGGTGTAATTCCAGCAATGGTGGACATTCTGAGTCACTTATTTATGTACCCAGAAGTACCTTCCACAGTGACTAGCTCTGTGTTACTCTTCTGTACTCGGGAATTCTGTAAATCCAGTTTGCTCTTATATGTCTCAAGCTTTGCCTTTCTCAATCCTGATATAGTCCTTCATCCTCAGGAATGTGCAGTGGCAGAGAGCCAGAAGGGTTGAAAACAGACCTTATCAGGAAAGACTGAGGCAAAGGAGTAAATATAAAAAAAATACAGTAAATCAGCCTTCCCCATATATTTTTACTGCTAGGTCTTCCATTCCATTGGGGAGCTGGTCTTGCTTTCCTTAATCTTCTTTTTGCTATCATTCTAGCCTTCAGAAGACCCTGTGGTTTTTATCCTCACTACCAGTTTCAAGTACAGATTTGTCTTTATTAATGCCATCCTGATGTATCTGAGTAATTGTCTCTGAGTAGCCCAACTCTGCATATACTTTATTTAGAGTTGATATAAATTACTCAGGAAGTGCCTGGGAAAGGTTGGGTTAATTTGAGCTGTTCACAGACTTTAGTTATTGTATATTGAATATATGAGCCAGTCTACACTGTAGACTGAGAAAAACTTGACCCTTTTTTACAAGGACAGCAAATTTTAATAAATATTTGCAGCAGTGGGGTTAGCTATCTTTTGAGTACACAAGAGGAAGGAAAGAGGCTTTTCTAAAATTCAGCATTAAAATTTCAATAAAAAGCATTATTGTCTTTGCTCTCAAGATATTATGATACATTGTCTGCCTTGATGACATTGTATGGAGAAAAAATTTATGAAATGCTGATTTTCTAAAGCTCTTAAGTGTACTTCAACCATGAATATTTATCAGTAAAACAAACAAAAGGCCAGATGATGAGCATTTGGGTGTTAATTGCTTAGTACCAGTCCTAATTGAATTGGTTTTGGCATTGACAAGAAATTGGTCTTATTCCAGTATATGTGAAAATCTATGAAAAAAAGTGACAATAGTTGTCTGTATGGTTTTTTTCATGCTTTCCTAGTAAATTCAAGCATTCAGAAAGTTCTAGTAACTGTTTTGAACAGAAAATGTGCTATACATGTTGAAGGCAAGCAAGAGAGTGATGTTGTGCCTGGGTGTGAGACTAAAAACACCACAGGGCAGAGCAGCACTTCCCACAGTCAGCTCAGCAAAAGGTTCAGATTAAAGCATTTCTGTGAGGCTTCTCCCGTGGAGATTTACCACCTTGTGTGGACACTTGAGGGAAGAATTCTGTGCTTTGTAGCTCTTCTTCCCTTTGATTTTTTTGTATTGACTCGGTGATCTGTACTTT